ATATATATATATATATATATATATATATCAAAAAGTAACTATTCCTCTGAAAGATACAGTTTAAGAAAACTGAATTCGATAGCCTTTTTTTGCCTTTAAAATAATGACATGCAGTTTATACCGTCTCCTGCGTATTTTTCATGCAGGATAGAAAACCAAGACTATCGATGTTGTTAGAACCACAGAAAAGAAAAATACTGTGGGTACGATGGAAAAAATTGTATAAAATAGGCAGGATCCAACAAACCAAATGAAAAGCTTAAAAATTAAAAAACAGAAAAAGGTAAACAATTTCATTCCAAGTTATCCACCTAATAATCGAACAACTCCCAAAAGACAAAAGAAGCGCTCTGTACAGTATGTGACGGTGCTGGAAAAACCTGATTAAAATACTGGCCAAAATATGCCGATTTGACTCCTGTAAACCGACATTTATTCAATGTAATGAATTGCATCAAAACTGTTCCGTCGCTTAACAAAATTTTGACGGCAAATAAGGCAGAATCTTCTAAAATAAGAAAAAAACTGAACAAAAAAAAATTGTAATTAGAAAAGTTTAGAACGTTTTTTTTCTAGAGCGTTGATAAACAAAGAACTGGTATAATTTTCGAGAATAATAAGTCATGATTAATGTTTTACAAAACCGCTTCCAAATTGACTGCTGTTTTTGAAATTCCTAAATTTTTCGTCATTGGGAGTATTAGTTTTCAATCTAGAGAGAAACGGTTTCTGTGTCCTCCCATAAACAGAAAAGTAAGTGACGCTGTACTGGAAGGACATGGCATCCGTAATTGTTCACATGTAAAATTACGAATATATCTTGGTAGAGAGCGCAAAGTGAAAATCAATTCAGTATTTCTAGAAGTAAGATCAATCAGGTTTTACTCAAACATGCCTTTTTCTGACTCCAAATCGGTGGCTGTTAAACACAGAAAAGCATTCAGAATTTAATACACCAGTGTCATGTCACCAAACGAGTCCTGGAGGAAGATTTCAGAAACGATCGGTTAAGCTGTAACTATTATTTTTTCGCATTTGGCAAATTGCCAATAAATCTACCTCTCTCTGAACACTTCGTCCAACATTTGGCTACGATAATTGCATCGACAATTTTCAATTTTACTATACCTAACGGCTCAAGTAAGGAAAACAAAAAATTCTGAATTATTGTTACGCAGCAGGCAATTAAATTAATCTGTTGTGGAGGTTTCACCTCCCCGGGAATCTCGTCATATGATTTCATACAGATAGAGAAGTACACGAACAGTTACTTACTTCTTTTGCACCAACTTTTTTTCCAAATACAATTGTACATATAAATATATAGAAGTTGGGTTTTTTTAGCTTATTGAAAATAAACTTTTCCTTGCTTAATGAACTTTTTTTCAGCGTTCTTATTCAGATATGGTTTTCACGGCACCGAAAAAGGTTTTGTCTGATGAACGAATCAAACAGGTGGGAGGCATTCTACTGGATACGAAGTAAGTTCATAATTGAAGCGTTCTTTTTCAATGTAAATGTTTTAAATTTGTATCTTAAAATTACTTTGGCGAATTTAAAGATGGTGTGGCAGAAATTTTTTGCTGTGTTATGTTATCATTGTAACAGAGTAGAAGAAGTCAAGTAGATGCAGAAATTGAACAGTATAATTTAATTATTGCTGCGTCACGGCGTCGCTTAAATGTTAGTAGTTTCAGTCAACCGTTAAAAGCTCGTTACCGAGCTTTGTACATATTACGGAATATTGGCTGTGATTTATCAGTTGACATATTATCAAAATGCTTTGATGACGCTTCTGCTTTATTTAAACATGAAGTAGCCTATTGCATCGGCCAAACTGGTAATAAGAAAGCCGTGCCTCTGCTGTGTTCCATTTTAGAGAATCGTAAACAAGGTTGTTTTATAACTTTACAGTGGTTCATGTCGTCGATTTACATGCGATACGTTTTTATGGTGGAGGATTTAGAAAATATTGTGCGACATGAAGCTGGCGAAGCTTTGGGCGCTATTGGGGATCCTGCAGCGCTTCCAACGTTAAGGAAGTACTTGGACGATTCTATTAAGGCTGTTTCTCAAACCTGTGAATTGGCGATAGCTCGGATTAACTGGGCCGCAGAGAAGAGAAACAAAGGTGAAGATTGTTTTGGTAGAAGTCCTTACGACTCTGTTGGTAAGTTTTAGGCTTTTTAAAAATTGCTTGTAGAAACTATCACTAATATCAGAATGCTTTTTAGTTTTTTTAATTGTACTGTTACGCTGTATACCAGTGCATTGTTTTTGATATTGGGTTCTTAACTTTCTTCTTTGACAAACTTAAGATATTGAAGATCCAGCACCTGCGGCCACTGGAACAAATGTAAAGGAGTTAGGCGAAATACTTATGGATAGCAGTAATTCGTTGTGGGATCGATATATGTCAATGTTTGCTCTCAGAAACATCAACTCCGATGACTCGATAAAAACTTTGGCACAAGGCACGTCATTTTGAACTTCTTTTTTATGAGTTTTTGGTGGAGAAACGTTGTTTTAAACAAAATTTTTGCAAATTTGAGCCCTTAATCAATCAGAAGTGTTCCTGTGCATCTGAATAAAACATGGGAGGAATTTTAGGATTGAACTGTGAAGACAGTGCTCTTTTGCGCCATGAAGTTGCATATGTTCTCGGTCAACTTCAGTCAATCATACCAATTAATGAATTAAAATGTCGATTAGAAAATTTGGATGAAAATCATATGGTTCGCCACGAATGTGCTGAGGCGCTTGGGGCAATAGCATCTGAAGAATGTGTTAAAATACTAAGAAATTTTGTTGGCGATAAAGAGGTAAATTAGGTTTTACTTTTTGTAAAACGTTTTTGCTATTTCTTCTTGACTTTCAGCCTCGTTTAGGCACTAGTAGTTCTTTTTACCATCTTGCTTGAAGGAAATTGACTTTTCAGCCCGTAGTAAGGGAAAGTTGCATAATAGCTCTGGATATGGCTGACTATGAGAACAGTGAACAGTTCCAGTATGCTACTGCAGCATCGTAACTAATACTGTCTTTTGATCTGCGCTATTCATGATGATGGCGGATCATTTTTTAATCATTCAATGGGAAAGGCTGCTTGTTGTTTGCAGCTTAATAACATTTTGAAGGATTATTCTGCCGTTTGATTTGCAAAACCGTCTTTGCACCGGTTATTTTATTGTTGGTTATTTCCGTCCAACTTCTCGTCATCACGTGTTCCCTTTTCTTTTGAAAGTGATTGGCTGTTGTGGGCGGTTTTTAGTGCCTGTTTCTGAACTGTAATTGTTACAAGATCTCATGTTGTTATGTAACACTACTACCGTAGTAATAAATTTTATATATGTATATGAATTCTTCGACAATTTAATGTGTTGCTCGTCTTTAACTATTATTTTTAGTTTTGGAACTGAGCTCTTTGTTGGATATGGGTATTACTGGTTTATTTTTCTTTGAGAGTACAGTATTGTGTTCCCGGTTTGGGTAGCTATCTAATGCCGTACTATGAACTAGCAACGAGAGTAAAATTTGCTTCCAGTGGCAATCTTTTTATCTTTGTTAAGCATACGTCTGTAGGTCGGTGAAGAAATGAAAGTGTAATTTTTTGATTTAGTGGAAAGAGTAGCACTTTTAAATAGGTTTATGTTGCAATCAGTCATTTTTGTTAGCACATTTAGAAAATGAATTGTGGAGCGAGTACTCGACGAGTTATTTGCAACCACAGAATTGGTAAGTTTAAGATTATTTTGTATATTGGTGGGTAGTGACAACTGCGTTAGGGTAATGTAAGGTTCGTTAGTCCTGTAGTAAATCCTTCGCTGGAAATTTTTATGTTGTCTTGTAGATTCTTATAAAATTTCTTGAAATGTTGTTTGTTGAACCATGGCTGAACAGCTTCACCCTTTGCTGAGGAATTCGTACTTGTAGTTGACGTCTTTCTGTCCTGAAAAGCTGATTTTTAATGCTTCAAAAGTTGCTGCATTTTGCTTTGTCTGCGGGGTGCTTCCAAACAATTTGCTATTGCTGGCTTGCTCTTTCAATTTCTTAAAGGTGGGAGGAGGTGCATTGCTGTAGGTTTTTTCAGTTTACAGTATGCTATGGGACCTTAGAAACTGGAAAGGAAAATTTTCTACATTTGTTCTTTACGGGTTTTGAAATGTTGACTAGAAATACCGTTCTTCCTACTTTTCTTCCGATTTTGTTCTGCAGAAGTTACTTCAAACAAGTTTTGCTCTACCTCCTAACCGTTACCGTGATTATGCTATTAGAAGTCGGAAGTTCTTTGACTTTATATTTAAGCTTGAAAATTTTCTGATAGTTTGAGTCTTTTTTAAGTTTCACGGACGGACCCACCTGTTGCATCATTGTTTTGAGAACTACAATGTCAAATTCTTTCGCCGATGAAGATTTGTTGCACTACCTTTAAATTTTCATCGTCATAGTATCAAAAAAATTTTGAGGAGCACTTTTTTAGTTACTGGTCGTCTGACGGACTTTTTGCGTGTCGTCATCTTACTATTATTCTTTATATGTATTCGTTTCTTTAAGTTCGCTTTTTGATTTTCGTAAGCCCTTTTTCATATTTTCATGGAAAATTTTTGATGTTGTTGATGATGAGCGGATTTATACAAATTTCTGAGATTAATTAGTTTATTGTTGAGTCGGAAAAACAACTGTATACTGTTCCGCAGTTCTGGTTCACCGTCAAAGGCTTTTAGTGAATGCTTGTTCGTTAGCAGATCTACAGTAAAGGGAGTGAGTATAAGCCTTTACCCTGAAACTGTTTCTTTAAGTTTGAGTTTCAGTTTTTGGAATTTAAGCTTAAGTCGATTATTCATCAGCATTTTTTGTCATAAAACGATTGGCTTTTTTGCCTATATCATTTTTTTCGTACTGAACATTACTTCAGAAATTTTTGAAACAACCATTGTGCATATGCATTTCCAAACCTTACTTGATGAAGTTTTTAGAATTTTTTCAGGACGAAAATCCTGGCTTGTTTCAATCAGGCAATACAAACATGCCAGTGTCGACCCAGTAAGTGCTAAACTTTACAAATGAGCTTTTTCTTCAAATTTCAGACATTCTGAGTTATTTAAACTACTTATGCAAGTCTTTTTTAAATGCATCAAGTTTGGGCCTCGAGTAATTGATTGTTTTTCATTTAGAGCAAACTGGCCCTGGAAGATGTTGGAAGTCTGTATACTGTAGCAAAAGAGCATGTAAAGACCCTGAAGTTTGAAAAATTTCTTCCAAATCACTTCTATAAACAAGTCGAAACCTTAGGAGAATGTGCCTGGTTGTGCCGCAGACCGTTTTTAGAAGTTAAAAATTGTTTAGAAGTATGCTTTCAAATAATAGACGTAAATGTGTTTCCCTTTGTTTTTAATGTTTCGACTACCAGCTAAAGAGAGTCACTTTCCTTAACTAATACGTCTTTATTACTTTAAAATTCTAGGCCGTTAATACTCAGCGACCAAATTTGAGGATTGTTTTATGGGGAAAATTTGGCACCGGAAAGACAATAACTTTATGTCAAAGCATGCACAGTGCGCATCTTCAGAAATGGGTACTACTTCACATCCATAGCGGTGCATTTTTGCGACTGGTTTTGTCCGTTTGGGTACAATATTCCTCGAAGTAACACTTTTTATTTTAGTAATGTTTTTCACTAGAAGAGTTGAGGAAATACAGATGTCGACTTATCATAATGGACGAATAAACACTCCTATCCAGGCGGTTACTTTACTCGAAAGCTTCAAAGCAAACAATTTGCCTTTGTGGGAGCAGCTTTCGGTAATTTTGTGATCTGTTTCTGCATTCAAAAAAACTTCTAACTTTAATCACTTCAAGGCATTAAAAACATCCAAAGATTATGAGTGGACAAAAGCAGAAATTACCAAGAAGAATCGTCCGATAACCGATATTGTTGAAATGGTACGTTATTTTGTAAAAATATGTAATTCATTCTCAGTCTGTTTATTTCATATTCTATTGTTTGTGAGTAATTTAGGAATAATGCCATTTTAAGGTTCATTAATTCTTTAGGGGCTTTCAGCTCCGTTTGCTGCTTCTGACTGCTTCGGAGCTCTTTTAAAAGAACTCAAAATGCACAGTTCAGCTGGCGCCATAAAACTCTTGGTTACTATTGATAAGGCAAACTCTTTATACGGTAAAACGACGATAAAACGGGCAGATCGTACTTTTGCGTCTGCAGGTGACATAACCCTTATTCACCATTTGCGGAAGCTCCTTAAAAACGATTGGGTACGACTCGATCATTTAATCCGGTCTTTCATTTTAAAAACATTTATAAATATCCGTATAGTGTAACGTACTGCTCATTACATTTGACAGTTGTGTCTTCTATTTTTTACCTATCTGATTCTCATTTCAGAACAACGGGGCTTGTGTAATGGTAGCAGATAAAAGCGAGTACAGCAATCCGAGAGATATGGAGACTATACCCTTGAATACCCCGTTGGAACTGTTTGGCGAAGAAGTCTCAAATTTTTTTCTTTCTTTTTACAATGATTACTGATGTAGAAGTTTTTTAAGTATTTTTGAACTAGTGGGCTGCTCAAACCCAATAATTACGTTACAAACAAGTGTGTAACGAGCTATCAGCTATCTTCATTTTTCCCGCTATGGTCTCCACTCAACCAATTTCCTTTTTTTTAAGCTATGATGCTGTGATGTACAGAATTTGCATTTCTTCAGGGATTCGAAGCTATAGATCCTTTTGTACCGGTAGAAGTCCCTAATTACTCAGAAGAAGAGGCTTGTAACTTGTACGATTACTATAAGGAGAAGATGTGGATAGCAACAGAAGCAGGTCATGATTCATAAGCTGGATTGCAAAAAAAGTTTGGGAGCATGAAGAGATATTGTTTCTGAAAGTTATTTGGAAGCTGGAACTTTAAAATTCTGAGTCGTCGATGGCCGTTTTGAAGGAATAAGAAAAACTACTGCTTTTCAGGAAGGACAGAGAAGGGTCGAAGAGAAATTATTTATGTAAGTGCTTTGAATCCACACAACTTCGAAAGGATTTGCGCATTTACTTGACCTCCTGATCCTCCAAACAATTACTCGTGTTGGATGGATATTATCAGTTTCTCCCGGTAGAAAACAGTACTTTTTTCAAAACTAGAAAGCATTTGACTCTTTCATTTTGATGAACCAAAATATATATGCCTTTTAGACGATATGGAAGATTTGCACTATAAAAACAAAAAAATAAATTCTCTATTTCTTCTATAACAACGAAAATGAGTTTTTGAATTACGGTTACCATTCAAGCTCTTTTTTGAAATAAGAGGCAGTATAAGTTGTATACAATTTTACAAACATTACCTGTTTGAAGAAAATTATATACATTATATTTTTTACTTCATTTCTCTACCATCTTTTTCAAGTGAAGAAGTAATAGTTCCTAAACTTGTAGAAATTTCTTGTAATGGAACTGAAGCAGAAATGAGGAGCTGGTTGGGTAAAGTCTCCAAAATCTGCACCGTTTCACTGCGTAAATCATCTAACGAACGTAGTTTACACAATTCTTCTGCCTCTTTTACCGGAATAACTCTTGAGTCAAATGTGATAGCTGAAAAATGAATTTAGTAGCGAATCCCAACCTTTAAAGCAAGAATTTTATTTCCAATGAAATGATGCTGAAATATGAAAAACGAAGCTAATGGGGAGGGGGGGGAGGTCAAAAATCTTTTGGAACGAATGGAAGGAACAAACATTGTTCAGGTTTACTTCAGCTCCCTCAGCAATAATTTTATAGCTGGTAAGTGGACGTGGTGGTCTTTTTGATGACGGTTTAAACTGGAAGTCCTTGAGATTTTTTAAAATCGCCAGGTATGACTTGGAAGAACGAGGATTCTCTTTAATGGCAGGACGCAACTTACCAAGGGCGCGTTTTGTGTGCACCCACCAATTATAAAAACCCCTCCAGTAATTTACTGTTTTATTAAAATCAGGTACTACCTAAAGGTTCAATCCAGGGATATTTTTTGCATTCTCTAATAACAGCTGTTATTGATTCGGCATCCTTTCCAAACAAATAGCAGTTGTGCGGTCCATCAAAAAGAAAATAAAGCGTTTGAAAAGGTGTATTTTCGAAAATCTTCTTCATTATGCGTTTACCGTACTCACGAAATTCTAATCCGTTGAGTCGAAATCTGCAACAGTCTTCATTATTCACTATGTTTGCTCTCTAAGAATCAAAGTGGAGAGAACTAGATGTAATTGCAAGAACATTTCTCAGCCGACGGTTCAAGTTTTCTTCAAATTTTCCACTGTAGGAGACGCTTCCCGTGATAAAAAACTATGCAGTCTTCCTACGTTGTAACGCTATTTGTCCCTTATGATATCTTTTAGGACAAGTCTTCAGATTTTGCCGTCCAATTCTAGGACTCACTCACTGGTAGTTGAAAAATATCTAAGATATTCGCTGCAAAAATGGGCGATCTGATGTGGGTGAGCTCATGCATACATTGTTCCGTTGTTTGATAATACATTGATTGCTTCATTTTCCAATTTTTTTATTGTCATTGAACTGAGAAAGAGCCACAGATAAAACTTCTTTCTCTCCCCTCGAAATATTCCCAGTACCAAAGACGTCCAATAACACTGACTGCTTCAAAAAAATCTCACTTCTCAAACTCTTTCAACCTCAAACGGTAAGTATGCTAAGTTTGTTCCTTACAAAAGAAAACAAATCAGCATCATAATCTGTCCGAAATAAGCATTCAGCAGACACTGTAAATCGAAGATTATTTGAGTCCCCCTACAGAAGTTTGATTACATTGATAAAAGAAATCTTTCTCACTGGTTTTTCGCAAGCCACTTTATCGGACCTTTTACGGAAAGCAGTTGACATATTGCAATGGTCCGGAACCCTTCAGTTTTGATCCATTTCTTGACGTGGTCCACCAGCGCAAGCTCTATATCTGTGTACTAAAAAGTAAAAAAACAAATAAACTTGGCATCAAATGCGAGGTTTCGAAAATTTACAAGCAATTTCTACGTTTTCAAAACCAAAAGATCATTTATTGTAAAGGGTGGAGAAAAAAACGTTCGGAAGCATGTCACATTATGAAGCTTTCGCAAACAGTTAACTGAATTACCTTTTTAAAACAAATTTCTTAATGGTCACCCATCTCCCAGTTTTCAAGGAAACTTTTATCACCAAATACACCACTACCACTGCTTTTTTGAACACGAAAGTAAAATGAGTCTACCTTTGAAAAAGGAACAAATCACAACTTTTAAATATTATAAACCTTTTCAAACAAATTTTTAGTGTCCATAAGTATTTCAATAAAAATCTAAAACGCTATTAAATATGGCTATTCGGTAAAAAAACCACATTAATTTGTATAAATGGAAGGAGGCATTGTTGCTCGCTGTTAAGAAAAGCACTTCCGCAGCTACACGGACCTATGTGGTATGACAGTTAGCTAACTTTTTAGATTCCTACTGCTTCAGCTACCACTGGTATTGTTAACTCAAGTGTAATGCTAAGCATGTAAGCCAAAGCAAGGCTAATCAAGTATGTCTAGTCAGTTCCAACTTCTAGGAAATATTTGACAAAAACTTTGCCCTTCAATAGAGTGAACATTTAAATTAAAAATATTTTTCAAAGATACAGAAAACTTTATGCGTTCAACAGGTTTTTGCCCTTTTTCACTCTTTTTTCTTCGATATAAAATCATAAAATCTCAAAAAAAGTACTGATACTAGTTATACTGAAAAACATAGTTCTTCTTACCTCTTCATATTGCTTCCTCTTCTCCTCAAGATATTCCTTTTGCGAGGGGCAAACCACTCGGACCTCTGGTACGACAGGCAATACAGCTGCTTCAAAAAGCCTACGGCGGTACGGCCGTGGTGTTGGCCTAGGGTACTTCGTCGAAACGCATCTAGGGAACCTACTGATGAAGTCTCGACTCAGTACGCACTTGCTACCTCTTCCCAACATGTACTTCAAATACTATATGAATCCTGCAACTTTCACTCGACAGATCCGTGTACCAAACTCCATCACCGTCTGAATTACTAGCCTCAAACGACAACAAAAAATTCCGACGGTTAATCCAAAAACTCTCAACTATTGAAGGAAACGGCCTTTAAATTCACCAATTACTTTCAACCGAAACACTGTCCCAAATTCACCACATTTACAGATTCAAGCAGCCCTCTGAACTGCCACCTCCAACTGTACACCACCCATTTAATGTAGTCTTAAGTTCGATAAAAAAGAAAGAACAACTGAATTACACTCAGAACCCCAATCTCCCCCATCATACAAGTCAAATTTTAGTTGCATCACGCCCGCAACTGGTCCTCAAAATCAGACACCCGTCATTCGTACATCTAACCCGTCTAGAGTTGTGCAAAACCAAACATTTCACTCGCCATGTCTTTTTTTTTAGTTGAAAGAACTTAAACACTTTAAAAACCAAAATCTAATAATATAACTCAAAAACAGAAGCCTTTACGAATAACTAGATCATACTTTACTCAAATTATGTGCTAATGTAGTCCCTGTAGAACGTAAATTGTGTGATTCAAACTACACAAGCAGAAACAAACCCACATGTTTCAAAACAATAGACAGTAAAAGCGCAATCCCACAAACAAATGTGCAATACATCGATGCCCAAAAATAGCAAAAACTTTATTCAAGACACCGACAAATGCAACAGAACGAACGCTACTGAAAACACCAAAATATACATAAAGAATATTTACATTTGCACGTGATATAAGAGAACCATCAAGATTCAAGAGTGAATGGTCCCTGCTATACAAAAGCAAATCTCAGTGGAAATTTGTCTACAAATAGCATCTCAAAGTAATCACTTGTATCAAAAGCATCGTGCGCAAAAAAAACTTATCAAAGGTGATTTGCCATTTGGTAATGTGAGAAACGCACCATCTTCTGAAACAAAAAGTTAAAAAATGATTAGACAGTTCTCAAGAGAAATCACTGAAAGATCCAGCATCAACGGCGAAAATAAAAAGCAGGGCGGTTCAGAAAGAAAAAACCTACTGTGTACAACCAAAGCAACCTTAAAAAATTGTAAGTAAAAATGGTCAGAGGTGTGAATAGAAACCAGCAGAAATATCAATGAGAAAGTAAAAAATTTGTAGCAAAATCAATTCATTTACTCATGCGCACTACCACCAAGAAGTGATGAAGATGAGTAGGCTACAATACAACCGAAACCTTTCAGAGCATTTAAGAAGTAACCCGTTAGACCAATGCGTGATTTCTAAGTTAGGGGACAACACACAACCGGGAGCGAGAAACTGAAGTCAAAAACATAAAAGAGCATTTCAGAAAAAAATGCTAATGCTCTTCCTCTTCATCTATAAGAGAAGCTGTGTCAGTATCATCTAAATCAACACCGCAAAAAGACACGCACAAACGTGCTGGGAACCCTTTCATGCGTGGGATTATCTGAAAAGTTTAATTTAATAAAGATGCTTAAAAAAAAGTTGCATTTATTTTTGAAAAAGAAAGAGGCAGTAATAAAAAAGTAAAATAAAATTATTATATGACAATAAAGTAAATGAAAAATTACCTTATTGCGGAAACGTGGACCGATATATATATCGTTGTAGACAAACATACCGAAAATCAACAAAGCAAAACCGAGAAGCTAAAAAAGTTCCATTTAAGATGTCAAAATCCCACTTTTTATAAAATAAAATAAAAATATTTTCCAAGCAAGTACAAAACTTCTGAATCTGAAACTAGATCAATTTTAAACAAAAACTGCACCTCCGATAATTCTGGAAACGTTCAGACGCTTGTCAAAAAAATTTAGAAAATCTTTGGAGTTACAAGGAACGCGAATTACCAATGAAGTATCTCACTGCCTTTCACACTTCATTTTACAGCTACTTCATTCTGATCTTTTACAGTATGCCCATATCCTCCCCTCCACCAATCTCAAGCGCCACTGACATCAACACAAAAAAAAAGCAAAGCAAACGGTACGACTAACCAAAGAAAGACCATTTCCATAAAAATCGAAATATAAAATAAAAAGGCCTCTTAAAACACCTTCAAAGGAGTACCCAAAACAGAGTACCAAAAAAAAAATTAACTGAGGGTTATTCCGTACCTGCCAAGCAATAAACTTCTGGTCAAATAAGTAGAGTGAAAACAGCCAAACCACCAGAGTTCTTACACTGTCAAGAACCATCCGAGTTGTTGCAGAAAGCTCCTTTGTCACGGTAATTCCAAAGAAATTAAAGAACGCAATGCTAAATTATTAAATAATAAATTAAGGATACAGATACTGCTTTTACTTACAACAGTTTGATATTTTTACACGCTTATCACAATAACAATTAAGCTGCAAAACTTCATAACCGACTGAGCCAGATACCTGACGATAGTTAAGCCTAAAGCCATAGCAATATTTGGATTATCTTTTACTTCCTGTATGGCATCAAACACGTCTTCGAGTCGATGGTAAGGATTTTTTGAAAACGTAGCAGGAACATGAATAAAATACATCGGAATCAAAAGGAATGTAGAAACAGACATGCCGAACAGTCCTAAAGTAATTGAAGAAATAAAAACTTCCAAGACTATAGCACGGCTAGACAATAGCAAAAAAATTCTAGAAAACTCTTTAAACACCAATGTTTTCATCAAATGACAAATAAATTTCACCAAACTTGGTTTTGAGCACTACAGCTGGTCATTACGTCTTCCACGTACCACACATTTTTTAAATCAACAAAGAAAGGACCACCACAAATAACCAATCTTTAACGAAAGAATCCTGTCAGTGTGGGTTACGGTTTTCCCCAATATCCCCGAAGTATCAAAAAGAAAAGCAGAATCAAGAAAAGAACAACCAAAATAAATACAAAAGCTCTTAACTCCTTTGATACACTGCTATTTTCCAATGCCTCAGCCTAGTTATATCCTCATATTCAACTACAAAAAAGCAAATTGCGTCTCCCATCCATACCTAACGGGAAGCCCGAAATACTACTTGCTACGTCTGGAGAGAAACCTTGTATCACCCACACAAAAAATTTGCTGCCCAAGTTCAGTTGCACTTCAACTTCACTTCATCTTTGCCAATTGGTTTCTAAGCAATTGTCAGTTTGAAATGTTCCAATTCTTGTGTAAGGTCCACCATTAAGGTCTTCAAAGACAAATTTGCAGAGAGATTTCATAAAATGCTAGAGCTAAACCTTGTAAATGCAAAAAAAGATCCTTTACTTGAAGCTTTTAGAGGCAAACAACTCATTATCTATCACTGTACTATAGGAACCCCGTGAGGGACATATAAGCCGGTAAAATTTTTTTGTTTCACTCTCCTCAGGCGGCTGAGTTCTATTCTCTGGCAGAAGTTCTCAAAACCCACAGTGTTTGAAAATTGTCTTATTCAACCTCTGCCTAGTTTTCCTTAACCTAACCTGCGATACCTTCTCAGCTACTGGCTTCCTGAATAAAGGTCTCACATATTTAACTGTATTATACATAGTTCCTAAAAATTCCCACTGCACAAAAGCATAACTGATAGTAAGTTGCCTCATAACTCGAATTCGCAAAGTTCGAGATAGTCGGTTTATCTTTTCAAACCCTCTACATCGTAAAATTAACCTACAGAGATAATTTGGCTTGTATAGTTGGTATGAAACATTTTGAAAGTAAGAAAATAGAATTTACTGCTCAGAACTAAGGGCACAAAGAAGCAAATAAAGCCCATAAATCCCCACCTTCTAATCCAACTGCTAACAAAGGAGGAACGTCATACTGCTTTAGCAACCTTTGTTCGACTACTACTTGAATTGCCACTACAATTTGGGCCATTACTATCAGCAGATCACCTGTAAAAATCCAATATCCAAACCACAGCATAACTGATAATTAAAAGCAGTGATCCAGCAACTTCTGCTCACCATCCAGAAGAAGACAAACTGTTGACGTCTTTAGAAAAAATGAAATGTGAGGTTGTGAACTTCCCTCTCCTTCAAACTCCTCAGAATTGAAAGAACAAAGCAAAGCATAAAAAATGCCTTTGACGCAAAAAAAAATAAAAGCAACATAAGTCGGCAAAAAATAAAAAAAAAGAACCTGTTATGATGCCGTTAACATCATCTTTACTGCTGTTTCCAAAGATCAAATCAGTTACACCAACAATAACAAGACCAACAGTAACAAAGCCCATACCCAACCATCTAAATCCCTGCAAACGCGAACCAAGAAATGCCACAGAAAAGAGACCAGTAAATATAATAACGGCACCTGAAAGTTAAAAAAACAATTGCAACCTGCAAAAGCTATGAATAAATATTAAATTCAAAAAATTACTCAAAAATGGTCAACGAAACTGCTGTAGCAACACACTTTCCGTAGTATTGAACATTCAAACCTTAAACACTCACCCCTTAACATTTGGTAGGATGATGCTTGAGTCAAATTTAGCCCTACATACATCAACGACGTTCCAACCACATCACAGCAAGCTGGTATGGCAAACAAAAATGCATTAAAATTTGGTAAAGACGGCTCTGAACTCCTGATTATTTCCTCTGAAACTCCTCGTACCCAAATTCGCTTCCGATAGTAGAAAACAATAAAGAAGACTATAAGGCACGAAAACTCGCCAATAAACATGCATATTGCCTAAAAATATGCACTGATAAACAACATTATTCAATTTAATAATAAATAACACAGCAAAATGTAAACATACAAAACTATTATTTTTCAGTCAACAATACAATTTTCTTAAAAAACCATTACCCTCTCTAGTTTCCCATTTTCTTCCTCAATAAATAAACGCCATTTGTCACGTTCAACAGTATAATGTCCAACAAGCAAAAATTTATGGAATTAACCTCACCAAATCAGAAAAATTCAATTAGAAAACACGTACACAACGATTTCAAAACTGACCTGAACAAAGGGATGATCAAATACTTTTCCATCGACTTTCATGCTGTCTGCCCACCTGAAACATTTTCCCAAGATACTACTGATAAAACCAATATTTGAAAATTATGCGACACCGACTTAACTTTTGAAGGAGTATGCTAAACTTTCCCAAAATTCCAAATTACATTAAGAAATTGCAAATACGCGAACTTTGCAATGTTCGTACTGTCCCTACATTGCAAAGTACCACTCGCCACCAATTAAATATAGTAGCAAGAAACTGTTCAATATGAAAAAAATCCATTACTTTGCTGCAATAGTGTTGATAGAGCCGGTAAGCACCAGCATCACAGCCAAGAAAGTGGAATAAACAGCATGGTTGCTACTACCCACTGCCATCCTGAAATTTTTCATATTACGTGATTTAAAAAAAGAGGACTAATGGTGCACAGGAAAAATAAAAGTCTAAAACACTTTTATGGAAAAAATTAAATGCCCTGCATTTTCCATTATCGCTCTTTAACTACTATTATTCAAAATAGCTAAAATACGCCAAAGCCTTTCATACAACAACATCTAAACATATGATACCATATGATACATATCTTTAAAAAGAATTGCAATACAAAACCTTAAGCGCAATAATTATGCGAAGAAAAAAAGTAATGCAGTAACATCTAAGATTTACCAATGCAAATCGAGCAACAAAATTTGCTGATAACTATTTCTGAAGTTTAAAATGAGTATTCCTACAATAAGTATAGAGACACCATGTACTGAATGGCACTGAAAGGCAAACCTTGATAAACCTTTGTGACTGCATACACTAATATAACTTTCCTGATACCAAGTGCTTTTGTTTTGGCAGTAAAGAATTCGAAATAGTAACCAGCTCAGCAACTACTGCATTAACGATTATAACGACAACCATTCAAATAAATATAATGCAAACTGAACAAAAAGAAAAACTTTTTGCCGCTCGCAAAGCAATTTCATAGCTTCACGACTAAACTGAAATCAAGCTTGTAACAAGATACTTCACCATGAACTTGAAATAAACAGTACAGTAATCGTAAAACTTATAAATCCTATAAACTAAATATATATACATATGGAAGGATATATAATTTTAACACTAATAGTGTATTAGAGCAAAAAAAAAACAAAATTTTTTCTGGCTTTTTTCCGCTTAAATGAAAACAAATATTGTAGGTAGTAAAATTGCAAATCAGTTTAATTAAAAATCATTACTTTAGAAAGCGATTGAAAATAAAAAAAAACAAAAAAAGCTAAAATTTCTTTTTTTGTTCTCAACAATCAGTAAACGATAGAACCTCTCCGCTGCAAGTTCACGCTTCGTTACGATAGACCAAATTACTTTTGTTTGTAAACAAATTTCTTTAAATCACAAGATAACACCATACAATCATGCCCTAACCCAGAGACGAGAACAATTGGAAAATAGAGTTGCTCACAACTCTTATAAAGCGACCAAAGCGTTCAAAAAATTCCACTATGATTCAACCTAAGAATAGAACAAAATTCAACAGAAAAAAACTTGCAAACTATCATTTTTCGTGCAAATATTCGTCAACAAGCAAATTTTGTAAGAACATGCGAATAAAATGTTAAAATTAATGCTGAAATTACAAATATTCTAAGAATCTAATGCAAATATGCAATGACCATCACTTTCTCTGAGAATTCAGAATAATAATCAGCGCTATAAATGTTTGAAGTGATTCACAAAGTATTCCTTTTTAAATCAAAGATTAAAACCATATGCATCAAGAAAACTTCTACACAACTAATTTCAATAAAATATAAAAGAAATGATGTACAATGCAAAAAAAATCAAAAAGTTATTCTCAGTTTTGGTTTATTGCCTCCCAAAGAGCAAAATAAAAATAAGTACGCACATATGATTGATAAAGTTCAATTGCTATGATTTTTAAAAACCCAGCCCTGAGCAACAGAATTCTCTTTAAAAAGTTTTACTTCGGACAAACTGGCGATTGTCCAGTGGAATACTAACAGGAAAGCCCCTTATGACGGATTAGAATATTGATATTTACCACCAGTAGCCAAAAAGACTAACAAAAGCGCTCATTTCAGAACATCATTACGGCTCCACCCACTAGCAAGCATGAACTTGCAAAACTTTGCCTGGCCAAAGGTTTAAAGCTCAAGTGCAACTTGAATAAATCACTGAAACGTACACAAAGAATTAATTTTGACAGCGTTCATGAATAATGAAAAGTTCAAAGAAAATTACATAAAAACATAAGTCTTTCAAATAATTTTACAAATAAAACTCAAATGAAAAAGCAATTAGTCTAAAAGCAAAAAAGTTAGAAGCAATTTTTACCAAGAGCTGTAAGGATAAAAAGTACAGGAATAATGGTTTAAGCGATCAACTCCGTTCGGGAAAGGCGTTTTTTAATAGTTGCGTTCCATTAGCATACTGATCTGAAGAACCAAACTGAAGTGTAAAAAAGTACCCCTCATAGTTCATCTAAACTCTCTTAATGGTACTGTGATCAAGCGAACACTCTCCCCCTCCCACACACAGAAAAACAGAAATTTCTTTAACCGTCACAATAACTTCACTTTGGAGTTTCACGCCTGCCTACATATTTGTTAACTATCTGACAGTCTGCTGCTAAAAAAAATATCACTTTAGCCCTGGAGGCGTTTCACGAGGGCGAATGGTGTAATGGAAAGTGGAATCTAGGAATAGAAAAAGTGGAATCAATACTAGGAATCTTAAGGATTTGAGTTTACACCCAAAACGACTCCTTTACTCTGTTTTTACATTTTTGAAGATTTTCTTATCTGCTGAAAAAGACGTGTCTCATCACAGGGTTTTAGTCATGCACGTAGAACTTATTGATCCATTGTACAGAAGGTGTTGAAAGAAACAGAAAATCTCCGTCCATATATCTCTCATAAAGGTTACTTAATCCATTCATAATTTGGCACTGCCTTTTTATATGTGTCTACTGAAGTGAAGCAATAAACAGTGGTGAAAACCACCTTCAAAACGCTTTAAGACTACTTTTGTTAAGATAAGTGCTCTATAAACCTGTCAGTTACAAGTAGTGCTGCAATGCGCTCCCAGGATGGCAAAGAGTAGCCTCCGGAGGAACCAGTCCAACACCATACCGTAAAAATCCTAGCTGTCATCTGTTACACGAGGGATCAAAAAGAAGTTGGTATTGCGAAACGCCATAAAGATCAAATCGACAGTAAGAACATTAATAAAAGCAGTTCAAAGTTATTGAAGATGAATTAAGGTATATTTGGGGTTAATAAATATGTTTATAATCAGAGGAGCTTAACTGCAGCGGAATCAACTATTACCTATTACTTATCTGAGAGAGAATAAAGTCTTCATATCTCCGTAAAAAAAATAAAGAAACACATTAGGCAGAAGGCTTTTTTCGTTCCGAATCCTCATTAATTCTTCAGTAGGCTGGGCGTTTAAAAAAGAGCCTGACGCCAACCATTTCGCCGAAGACCCAGAGACACCCGGAGCCACTGAGAAGGCAGGGAAGAAATGTCTCAAAAACTTCTGAATATCACATGAACGTTAAAATTTTGTTATACTGAATTGGAGAAGTGCCAGAAATACTGTTTCTTTCGTGGCAGAAACAGCAATTAAGGTAATGAGTAAGATGAGTATTTTCATCCTTATTTGGACAAAAACTAATCAAGGTTCCTTCTTTTGTAATTTTTAGATTCTCTCAAGTTTTTAGATATTGGGTGAACACTTAGCACGTTAACGAATCTGGAAGAGAGAATGCTTTCAAGGAAGTACGGGTAGATACGGCTAAAGCGATGAAGTATTCCTTCTCCTTCATGGACGGTGAATAAAATCACTGTTTGTAACGTTATTTCCCAAGTATCACGATTGTAGATATGCGTATTCAGTAAGGGGGAATACAGCCAGTTCGGTGGTATTTCTTTTTTCAGAATTGTGAATAACAAATTTGCTGTCGAGCAAACTGTTGGTAAAATTA